CAATGAATTTGCAAAAAGGAAGTGCCCATAATAAAGGCAGCCGGAATACAGCGTGTACACAAGTATCAGAGGGGTAGCCGTGTTAGTCTGAATCTGCAAAAGCGGTGAGGAGTCCTGTGGCGCCTTATAGACTAACTGAAGTGTAGGAGCATAAGCTTTCATGGGCATAGACCCACTTCATCAGATGCATGTAGGGGAAATATCCAGAGGCAGGTATAAGATCCACTACATGCATCTGACGAAGTGGGTCTTTGCCAACGAAGGCTTATGCTCCAACACTTTGGTTAGTCTATAAGGTGCCACAGGACTCCTTGCTGCTTGTGTTCACAAGTAGCAATTAATTTCCTTTAAAAAAAAAAAAAAGGCAGGCAAAGTTGGCCTTTGGTGGTTGTGCCCTCATGCGTTGTCATGGGTACAGGATAGCCATGATGAACAGTGGACCATCTGAATGGTTACCATTACCCTACATCAAAATGGCATCAGACAGCACGAAACCTAGTTCTTAACAGTGGAAGCTAAGAGAGAAGATGCACTGGGTAAACAAGATGGAGGAAATGCTCAGAGACATAAGTAAAAGGCCTCCCTGTAATAGAAATAGAAACTGGTCCTCTAATTCCTGTGGATTAGAACAGAAATGGGAAGTCAGGGGTCCTGGTCTTTTTCCTGACTCTGCTACTCACATACTGCGTGAGCCTGGGTCAATCATGCTCTCTGTGTATGTCTATTTCCCCAAATGTAAAACTGGGACAATAAATCCCTACCTTACCCTACCAAAGTGTTTTGAGATCAGTGGACTGAAGGTGCTGCTGAAGCATAAGGCAGAATTGCAAAGCCTATGGAAAAGGGAGAAAGTGCTAAACAGGAAGGAAAATTATCCCAACACTGAAGAGTAGCAAAAGCAAAAATTCCTACTCCTTCTTGCTCCCTTGAAAGGAAGTGACTTGGTTTTGTATCAGGATGGTAAAGCTTTCACTTTGTCTTCAGGGCTGGGAGTTTCTCCTCTGGCATCTTCACACTCTGCTGCTTGAAACACTTCTTTGAGGTTTTGAGAGTAAACTGCCTCCTTCTTGTAGGCCACAGAACGGCAGCAGCACCTGTTCCCAATTACCTTTGTTGGTCTCTTCGGTACCGCTGATTCCCCGCTGCTGTACACACACATGTAAGTCGTTTATGGGTTTTTTTTTTTGTTTTACACTTCTCTTGGCATCAATATAACCAGAAATGCAAGACTAAAGCAACCCAGGGGGCATTCCTTGTTGATTTAGTTAGAAGCCCAATGAGCTTCTAAAATGTGATAAAGGGAACTAGACATTGTTTCTTCTCATGGCTCAGCATTTTGTTCTCTTCCCTCTTGCTCCCTTTGGGGCCCCTCTCCCTCTCTGGGAGATTGGATGATAGTCAGTTCCTCTTGATTTTCAGATCCTCACCCTATTTGATGGATTTAGGGCTCCCCTGGGGTTAAAATGGAGTAACAGCTGGCAACCCCATGGCCAGAGACCTGAGGTAAGGCATTTCATGGCTCTCCACCAAAAGGACACTCCATAAGCACATGCCTGCTGCAGATGTTGTAAAGACACAGATGTAGAAACAGCAAAGGCGGGAAGCAAAAGCCCATCCACAATGAAAGAGATTTCTAATAGCAGACACAGCTGTGCTCACCACCTCCCCCAAATAGAAAGAAGATATGATCCATGCCCAGAAAAGTTTACAAACTCATAGCGCTGTCAAGTGTCATTGTTCTGGCTAGCACCCTGGCAGTACCTGTGATGTCTGCAGTGGAAGGAGCTAACAGCAAGAACCCCAGATCAAAAAAGGTAACAGATAAATTCCCTGATTATGGATCCCCTTCCAAAATTTGGCAAACTGGCTAGCAAGAGTTCCCTCCCTCCAGCTTTTTGACACATTCCCAGAACTGAACTCTGAGTTATTAGCAGATATGGGCCCAAGTCATGCAGTTTGGATCCAGAATCAATTACTTCCCCAACCCTCACAGTTATTCCAATGAGGCATTCAAACTTGGATCATTATCCAGTCAGAAAATCAGATCTGGAACCCAGCCCAGTTGACGAACCTCTAGAATGTCTCCGACCAGCACTGCAGTTGACCTGCTTTGTGATCTTTGGAAAGCCACTGCAGCTCTGTGCGCCCCATCTATAAAATGGGGTTAGTGATGCTGATGTAGCTTTGAGGTCCTTGGATGGGAAGTACTGAGTTAGTCGGAATGTATCCGACCCTCAGCGGTGGAATTGATTCGGACCCATCACCATTGCTAGGTGATGACATTGTCCTGCTTTGTTCATATTTGCTGCTAATTCTGCACTTTTGGGAACCAGCAGAGAGCAGATGCACCAAATACAGAGAAAAATGGGACACCTCTTTGCCAGAGAGCCTCAGCCAAACATCAGATATGCTAACCATACTGTACGCTGCTCCACAGAATGGACAGGTTAGCTTGGAACAGAAAGAGTTCAATAAAAAAAAACCCCAAGCAAATCCTTATACCTCAGAAACATTGATCCGTCCTTCCTGAAACGAGCAAGTTGTGGGGTCATGAGTGCAGAGGTTGCGGTATTTGCACCAGTGGCAGCGGAAAGCACTGTTCACACAAGAGAGGCACCTATAGAGCCAGAGACAGAAATAAGGTCTGGGTTACAGAGATGTTCATCAGGAATTGAACTCTGTCTGAATTTATACATAGGAAGACATGTTCCGGGTAGAAAACTAAGACAAAAACTCTACAAAATCAGAGACCCAATAACCTGCATGTCAATCAGTTATTTGCTCCTATTTCTGCCTCCCTCCATAGTTTCATCTATTTAGATTGGAAGTTCTGCAGTCTAGTGTAATTACATACCTGTGAGATGTCTAGCACACTTCTGGGCACTAACAGATAATAATGCAAAGTTAAGGTTGAGAAAGCAAGTTCTCAAAAGCCCAGGACTCTGCCCCCTGTGCTCATGTCCTAAAATATATCCAGTCTTTAAATGGATTATTAATACAAGTTGAAGCATCTTATACAACATCACATATGGGCCAAGAAAATACAATGTAGTGCAATCTTGACTGATGTTAAGCCTTCGTGATATCTACTGAACAAGCAAGATTCGAAGAAATTTGGCTCAGTGGTTTTCAATAATTAGAAGAATTTCAGATCATCAACTGTAAATGTTTCTATTTGTCCTTTTTCACTCAAGGTCAAACCTGGAGCATATTAGATTGTTCCAGGGCATAGCAAATGTCTGTGCTTTATGTTGGATGAGGCCAATGGTGCAGGACATGGGGTAAGTCCATCTGACAAGGATCTGGCTGGGTATCCACTATCTCACAGATCCTTATATACTGCAGGTAAGCTGGGTGGCTCATAGCAGTTGTTGGTATTCACAATAAAGCTTCATTTGTTCTCAGAAGCTAGGTCTACACTAGGATTAGGTCTGTATAACTATGTTGCTCAGGGGGGTGAAAAATCCATATCCCCGAGTGATATTGTTAAACCAACCTAACCCCCCATTGAAGACAGTGAATAGATTGATGGGAAGATTTCCCCCTCGCCCTAGCTATTGCCTCTTGGATAGGTGGAGTACCCATGTCAGTACTCGGGTCAGTGTGGGTAATATCTTTGAAGCACAGAGTGATGCTGTTGGTACATTTTGTGTTGTCAAGTCCTCAGTGACAGTCCACGGGCATCGTTTCATACAGTTTCGTGGGGTCCCCAATTCACTCAAAGGCATGGGCTTTGCAACTGAAGGGGGGTTTGCACCCCATCTGTGCAGTGAAGGGACAGCTAATGGTCTGTTACTTTCTTTCTAAAGTTATTGTCACTACAATGCACTTTTAATGGCTTCCCCTTTTTATAGCTGAGTTATAGTTTCCTTAAGCATCCATAGTGACCTTAATAGCCAAGGAAGCTTATTCTAATCATAAAAATGCAAATCTGGTGAGGAATATCAGGCACTGTGAGCTTATTTAATTACTCCTTTATTTGACCCATTTCTGCCTCTGTTTCGGTTTGCTGCACTTGGACCTGGCTGTTGGACCATTCCTGCCTTGGACCTGGCTATTAGCTTTCGGATTTGAGGTAGAAGCAGATTCTCTGCCTGCCACAGCCCAGTTGAGATTACAAGAGGAGAGTCGTTCTGATGCTCAAGCCCAACAGTTTGTTTCGGCGCGTGTGGTTTTCTCACCGCTGTCTTCAGCTCCGCTCTGGCTCAGCTGGGAAGGGGCAAAGGTTAGACAAGGAGTCGCAGACAAGCGACTTCTTCAAAGCTCGTCCGCAGAGAGCGCATCTGCTTTTTCATGAGGAGAGTTTCTCACACAGACGCTCCCCCACCACAGCAAAGTCCCTTCAGAAAGCAGTTTCCATTTTTAAAACAAGTCCCCTTTACTTCTGAACCAGGAAGCATCCTTGCTGCATGGCCTCTGGGAACCGCTCGCTCTGGGAAAGCTTTTATCCCCTCCCTGCTAGAAATGGGCCCATACCAGATCTGTTTATCAGGTTCCCCAGCGCTCTCTTGACCTTTGTGGGGGCACAGTTTTTAGCTTTGCACAACAAGAACCCACCTGATGAGAGTTCGGAAAAACTCCCCATCCCACAGCATGCCCCCTTTCGACAATCTCAGACCTGACACCCTTTTCCTGGAAGCTAGGAAGCCTCAAGCCAAAGGTGAAAGCAAGACGATGCACCACTAAGGAAGTGGCTGTCTAGTGTGGGGGCAGCTCCTTTACCCCCTGTCCTTCCCCCTGCCCAGAGCTGAGGCTGGCAGGAGGGAACCCCAGCACATGGGGGTCCCCCATCCCACGCTACTGATACTATTACCCTCTTACTGATACTGTTGCCTAGCAACCACTCCCAGCCCCTCCCCCCACTACCCCACATTTAAATTTCTTACAGGTACTGTTGCCTAGCAACCACTCCCAACCACCTGCCCTGAGCACCCCCTACAACAAGGGGTGGGGGTGTTGTGATACAACAGTACCTGTAAGAAATTTAAGTTACTGTCACCCCTGCCTCAAGCTGTCAGTTATTGGCATGTGGGGTGCAGAGAGGGAGAGATCTGTGCAGACGGTTTTGGGGGAGCTCTTGGGAGGCTCACGGAGTAATTCTCAAGGGGTGATGTGGGCTGCAGCTGCCACTTTCCATTCCAGGCAGGTCACCTCCAGCTTTAAAACGAGGCTGGACAAAAGATCGTTGAATAAACCAGGAGACGACCCTGCTTGGTACCCGCTAAGTCTGCCAGCAGGCAGGGTTAACAGGGCAGTTCCAGCGCTAACAACCACAATTCTGAAGCCAGCTGTCCGATCCCTGGCAGTAGGAGTTGCTTCCCTAGAGCCGTGGCTCAGGCCTGCCCTTCACGAGCTGGTCTTTGGCATGTGTATTCCCTGTCTCCCGTGTCCTGCACGTGTTTCACGGCGGCCGTTTGTGGTTTCTGACTGTCTGATCCCACCGAGATCTCCATAAACACTGCCGAGATTTTAACAAAACAGACCACAGCCGGCAGCGTTCTGCCTCATGGGCTTCTGGGGCAAAGGCTGCTGCAAGGAACACACTGCGGCAGTACTGGGCTCACTCCAGAGCACAGACTGAGGGCCAAGAGGTACCAGAGTCTAAAGACTGCCCTCCCCAAGACAGGGCCTGCACTCCCCTGCGGGATTTACTGAGAAGCTGAAAAAAGCTCAGAGCTCCGTGGTGCTTCCCTGGCATGACCTGAAGGGAAGGAGACGCAACACAGACTTCATCTCTATGGCTACGTCTAGACTGCAAGCCTCTTTCGAAAGATACTTCTGAAAAAGCCTCTTCCGAAAAAGAGCGTCTAGACTAAAACCAGCACTTTTGAAAGAGCAAGCCACTTTTTCGAAAGAGAGCACCCAGGCAATCTGGATGCTCTCTTTCGAAAAAGCACAGTTTGCATTCCATAGTGCCTTTTTTTCAAAAGAGCACTATTGAAAAAAGGTGTCCTTCCTCGTAAAACGAGGTTTTCCATGGTTGAAAAAAACTGCCACGTTCTTTTGATTTACTTTTGAAAGAACGCAGCAGCAGTCTAGATGCAGGGGAAGTTTTTTTGAAAAAACCGTGTAGTCTAGATACACCCTAGGAGAGGCATTTTTTCTCCCTCTGTGTCTGAAAAACAAGATGAAAAGCAAACCCCAGCTGAGTTCCCTTCACTCAGCCCCTGGACTCTTCTGGCATAACCACCCTGTACACCTCTTGCTGCCCCACCCCTTCTTGTCTACCACAGAACACAGCCCTGTGTGGTCTTAGCTGCTGCAAGGCCTCTGTGTCTCCTATCCATGCTCGGAGCGGCTCGTACGGGAAATTCCCAGACATGTTCTTTTCTCCCCCCACAGCTGCCTGTGAGCAAGGATGGAGTTGAGCTCACAGTTGCAAGATCATGCAGCTTGGGGGCACCAGCAGGTCAAGCTCCTTTCAGGCACGCTCACTCTCTGAGAAGGCAGATAAATCTCTACGCTCTCAGAGAAGCTTCCACAGGATGGGGATCTCTTGATTGCCTCTCTGTCGCCGATGACTCAGAGGTCAGACTGTGCCCGGCATCACGCCAGAGTCTCTCTTGGCCTACGACTGAAAATCGTACTCCAGTTCTGTTTCAACTCTCCGTGCGGCTCCCACGCACATTTGGCCAATGCCCATCTTGACGTGGTCTAGGGCCATATACAAGACACATGAGAGCAGTTCTGTATGATGGCTCCTGAGGGGTGCATCAGCTGTGGCACTTAGGAGGTTAATAAAGAAACCCATTCCACTGTATACCGAGGCAGCAGGCTCAATTCAGGGGCGGGGGAGAACGGAGGGGCTGCGATGCTGGTGGGGATGGAAAGCAGGAGAGAAAGGTGAGGGTGTCTTACAATTGGTGAGCACTGCAGTTGTAGAATTTGAACTCCGTGCTGACGAACGTTTTGCCTGTCTCCTTGGATTTCAGCTGGAGCTCCAACCCGAACCAGTCTGGGGGGGAAAAGAAGGGAGGCGGTTAGGGGAGCATTTCACTACAAATAACAGAGCTCATGACAGACGAGGTACTCGAGTTCTCAAGGCCGCCTTGAGAACTCACTGCCCCCCCCCCCCACACTTCTGGTGTGGTGCGAGAAAATCAAACACCTCTGGTCCCAGTGGTGCACTAAGACACCAGATTGGCCCATGAACGGCGAGTCTGCGCTGGGTCGTTGAACGCTAAAGGCTTCTGAGAAGCCGATAATCCACACATTGTGGATCCTCTGGGGACGCCAATGAACATGCCAGTTCCGCAGATGGCCAGTGGAGGCTGCTACAAGCGTATGACAAGACCTCTCCCCAGAGATGCTGGAAAGCTGAGCCAACACCTTCCCCCCACCATAGAAGTCACATCACATCTAAAGGTGAGATGGGGAAATGCGCTGGAGATGTAGGATTCAGACTCCATCTCCACAAGTGACATGAGTGTGGCGGTCTCATCTCATCCCCCAGCGCAAACTCCCAACAGAATCTATCTGAAATGCAGCCCAGGAGGGGGTGTTGCAGGCGAAGATGGGGGCAGGGGAAGATTAATAGTGCTGAGGAGGCGACGCAAGAATAAACTGCACTAGCTGAGCTGAGCGAGGGAGGTTTGCTCTTCACTTTCGTAGCTCTCTCTCCCAGGCCCCGACTTCTACGAGCACTCAACTTCAACGCAGAATTTTACATATAGGAAAATATCAGCAGGGAAGCGCAGATGACACTTGGACACATGCCAAGGAGAAAATGAATTTAAAACAAGTCGCATTCTGATTCCGGAGAGAGCGAGGGAGAGGGGGACTATGACAGCAGTGACATTAATGAAGAAACAACCCAAAGATCAAAACCAAAAAATAGAAACCTCATCCACCTACTCTCAGCGACTGAGTCAGGCCTGAATGCAACCACCCCCACACTTTCACCTCCCACATCTGCCTTGCATGAAGGTGAGATCCCTGGGGAGATGAGAGACAAGGGGGTAGCTGGCTTGAAGATTCGCCTGTTATTGGGATTCTTTCCGCACAGCTAACACCCTGCACGTCAGGGTTGTTACAGGGCAGCCCGTCTGACCCCACTCCTGGATGGTGTTTTGTCGTGCACCGTGTTGGTGGGGCTCAGGCTGTGGTCTGCTTTGCCTGGCAGCTTGATCGACTCAGCGCTCGCTGGCTCCACCCTCCCATAAGGAGAAACACACGGCCACCAGGCAGTCCTTCAACCAGTAAATCAGCTCACCTTGGTCCACAGGGATGGTGGGGACATCTTTAGCCGCCGGCGAAATGCAGACAACCTGGCTGCCGGAAACTTGGCCTTCCACCTCAGTGAGGTTTCCAAAGAGACAGGTTATTCCAGCTGACAGATCTGGTGCGTCACTTACCAGCATGCTGAGCTGGAGCAAGGGAAAAGGAGAGGAAAAAAATACAATCAAGATCCCATTTGTTGTCAGAACTACCTAGAGTTCCCTTTAGATTTTCAGCACCTGCTGCTTCTCAATGGAGTATCAATGCTACGTAAGGCCGAAAGGAAGAAGCGATCTCTGGAGTTTAGTGCACGAGCCTCTACCTGCATGAGCTAAAAGTCAGCGAAGCTGTCGAGCAAACTCATTCTCTCTCCATAAGTAGTCTCAGTGCCACTACATGGGACAGTGACCCTCACCTAGCAGGTGTGGGGTTTATACCTACACAGAGATGAAGACTAGACAGAAAACACACAACCACTCTTTCATTGTAGCCAGAGGAGGAAAGGTCAATGGTATTGTAATTTCTTTCTCCACTGATGTATGATGGTCAGACCGTCCCCTCTAGCCAGTCTTTGGGGAAAGGGCGGTGGGTGTTCTGGAAATAGCCAGCTGCTGAGAAATGCCTGTCCCAGGGCAGCACCTGGAACAGAATAGGTGGGGAGCGTGTGCAGCTGCTTAAAAAGGAACAGCTGGCAGCCTGTCGGGTATGGGTATGAGGAGCTAGATCCTCCCAGCGGGACAAGTAATGGCTGGTGCCAGCTGCTTAGGAAACAGAAACTTTTCCTTCAGTGTTTGACACTGGCTGGTAGTTGCCCAGTGAAAACGTGGGCACTGAGGTTGGATTTGGGAATGGGAGTGTCTGTGTCACTTCTGGCTCCCCATTTTGGAGGGGCTCAGACGATCACTTCCCTTCTCAACCCCTTCAAGACCCTGAACTCCGTGCCCATGGGAAATAAATCTGTGGAGACAGAAATGGCTTTTGTTGTTGTGAATCTGAGTTGGTGGGTCTGGAGAACTGTCAGCCTGGCCCCTCAGATGGAGAACTGCCTGCTGCTGGTACCTACCGGAAGGCTGTGCTCAGACACAGAGATGCTGCTGGGCCGCACGGTGACCCTCATGCACTGGCTGAGGCTGGCTGCAAATCGTGACGGCTCGTCTGCTCGCTCGCACTTGTCCTTCCGGGAGCACCTGAAATGCACACAAGCATCAGTGCAAAGGGACGCCCGAGGAACACTTCACTGTCACACAGCAGCGGGTGCCATGGCTGGCCAGGACTGTGGTGCATCGGAGCTGAGAAAGTGCAGCAACAAGGGATAAGAACGACCAAGACTGAGGCACATCAACAGCTCTGTGCACAGATACCAGGGCTAGAACAGCAAGCGCCGATGCAGCAGAACAGAAGAGAAATGCACGTTTGGGGCAGGTGAGAGAAGAGAATGAAAAGATCATTGGGTCCTATCCAAACGGTGCCTGATCTAGGAAGTGTTGAGCACAGCTCCTGTGGACTACAGGGGGATCTGTGGGAACGCAGCATTTCTGAAAACCAAACCCACTATCTTTGGCTCAGATGAGCTCCTCGTTTCTGTCAGCAACTCACACATAATCCACCTGCTACCTTAAATCAAAAGCTATAAAAGGCATTTGCAAGACAGCACCTGTACTTTAATTAAAAAAAACAAACAAAAAAAACCCAACCAAAAAAAAACAAAAAACAAAAACTACGTGGCTAATTAATCTCTTCCCAAAGCTGAGGGTCTTGAAGGACTGGAAGATGTAATTTCTTATCCCCAGGCTGGAGCCATGAGAGTTAAATTCAACTGTCATGCCTGACTCTCCCCGCCCTCCACAAGGAGCCATTAAACGTGCCAGGCTGAATGGGGAGGGCTGCCTCTGGAGCGTGCCGTTCTGTGTGCTCATCACCAAGTCCCTTCCGCTGAGGAGGACCTCAGCACGGAGGGAAATTTTGATTCACAATCAGCGTGGCTCCCTGAATCAGGCGAGGTGAGGTTAAAAGGGCTAATCCAGTCCCCCCTCCCGATGCTCCCCCAGGACCGGAAATGAAGGCGCCATTCAACACAACAGGGGACCGAAAACGCTATGCAGACGCCAGCCGCGACCACAGAGGCAGGAGCGTTTTGTAAAGCACTTTTATTACGGATGGGTTTAGGGACCCATTCAGACTGGGGTCCCAATGTGCTAGGCTTTGTATATGCACAGACGGGCAGCGAGACCGAGTGCAGCAGGGTTTGTACACAAACGGGATCATTTTACGACCATCAGTATAATTGCAGTTACATAACCTAAAATAAAGGGGGCAACTACAGCCAACTTGGGGACGCGGACACCTGTCCACTATAAGCTGGAGAGACTCACCAACTTATTTTACATAAAGCAATTACCATTAAAGTCAACACGACCAGCTGTTCCTGAAGAGTGGTATCAGGAACAGCGTATCATGGCGCTTTTCTATCCTAGGGTATATAGGGAAGTAGAGTCCTTCACATTCCACTATACAGCAGGGGCTGGCATATGTTGAATTGATATCAACTTTCACTCACTATTAACCTCCAAATGCCATTATAAGGCGCTTGAGACATGCCCCTCCCCCCATGCCTTACAGTGCTTTTCTAAGGGCCCATTTGAATGTATTTGCTACTTTACCAGGGGTGGGCAGCCTCTTTTGGGTCCGGGGCCACTGACCCACAGAAAATTCAGTTGGGGGCCACACAACAGGGACACACCAGAACCTGGGTGGCCCTGGCTAGTAGATTTTGTGCCCCCCCCTACATTCTGGGGTGGGGTCAAAAATGAGGAGTTCAGTGTGTGGTAGGGAGCTTCTGGGAAGGAGGCTTGGGGCGTGGATGGTGCAGGAACAGGCTGGGCGGGAGGTAGGATGCAGGAGTGGAGTGGGGATGCGGGGTTTAGACGGAGAGGGAGGCCAGACTCCCAATGCTGGAGATGGGACCCCTGAATTTCAGGGGTCAGATCCAGGCAAGCCAAGGGCTGGATGCAGCCCCCCCCCCCCCCCCTTTCCCAGGCCATAGGTTCCCCACCCCTGCTTTAAGCATCAAAGTGCTATTCTACTTAGGACTGGAATCAGCAGAATGGATATTCAACACAAAAGCAGGTTTGGCTGTTTTGTTTTCCTTTTGACAGTGCTGGGCGCAATCTTAGGTAAACATCTACATTAGCAGACAAACTGACTGCTCCACAAAGAGTCTTAATCTCCTTGTGCCAAACCTCTCTTAAAGGAGGTGACAAGAGCCTTGCAAAATTGGGACTCAAAACAAAACAAAAACAGAGCTGTCTTCCTTGCTGAAAGGCTGCTTGCTTCTGAAAAAGAAAAGCACTAAGAGGTTACTGCTTTCCCTTTCCCAACAGCTGTTCTGATACCTGGCAATTGTTGTAGCCATCCTCCTCTCCTTCCCCCACTTTCCCTTTTTTGGGAATACAATAATGGGGTCTACATATGAATGCTGCTAAAGAAAAGAATTATTGAGGTTTAAGTGACTGTGTAAGATAGCTTTAAAGTGAGCTCTTGACTGGAGCTTTTATCTCATTGACTCACTGGAATGGCTCTTTTTTTATCATACTATTTATGGCAACAGCCCTAACAGAGACAAATTGGCCTGTAGACAATAACATACTTGCAGAGAACAGCATATAGAGAGAGCCTTGCAGATTGCAAATTCCACTGGACCAAGGATACTCCTTAATCTCCTTGAGGACTCTGCCTACCTCCCAAGGAGCAGAACTGCTGGAGGAGGAAGAAGAATTAACGACAGTCTGTCTTGATTATAAAAATGAATGAACGGAGATCATGCCCCGAGTTGGCTCTTGGGAGGACTGTACAGGAGGCTGTTCTTTTTTCATTCTGGCGGTTAACCAAGGAATCCAGACCTTTCCCGTAGCCATTTTCTTGTCTACGGGTTTTTGGAATCTCCTGTAATATCCCAGACTTTTAGAAGACTTCTTAAATCAAGGTGTAACGTAAGTGTGTGTGCTGAATCCTTCTTCAGCGGGAAGTCCGTTACCCTGCTGCTGTGCTCTGCTACTGATTTACTCCCTTAGATCAAACGTTACTGGGCTGAACATGTGTCCACAGAAAAATTAACAGGACAAAATTAATGGGCAGCCTGAAAGGTCTTCAAGGCAGAGGTTGTCTTCCTCTACAGCCCTGCCGGCATGTCTAACGAGCGAGTAACAGCAAATCTCAGAGCCCCGGTCTACAGACTATGGCTCAAGTTATGGTGCTCCACACAGCTGCACAGATGTTCAGACTTGGGTTGGAGCATCTGACTCTGAGGTGTAAGAGGGGAGGGTATTGGGTGGCTGTCACAGCCCAAGGCTGTAGCCTGAGTCACAATATCTACCCAGCTGTTTTGGACACTTGTGAGTCCGACAGCCTGCGCTTGGAGACCTATGGTCATGGGCTGCACGGATCTACCCTGACACGCTTTGGATGCTACTGTAATGGAACTAGCAATAGGAAAAGGGGGACTTATGAACTACAATGTGCAATCAGACTCAGCGAATCCCCAGTATGTCCCCGCTGTAGGTTGGCTCAGACCACGTTCTCTTCTATTCCAATATTCAGCTCCAGATCTACCTCTTGCTTCTTCCATTCCTACCCCAGCCAGCTTCCCAGCACCACTGCTGGGGATGAAGTGTCCGCGGAAGCCACTAGCTCAAGCTCATTTCATGCTTTTGGCTTTGATATTTGTTCCTCTGTCTCATGGGCTCCTGCAGGTGAGCGTATGTAAAAGTACCTCCCCTAACAGAGTGTTTCTCTTTGTTCTCCTCAAATGTTTACATGGAATACAGAGAATTGTAGTTCTACTGCCGTGTGTGACCTACAGATCGGTCCCTTTCGCCCAAACGCAAGCAGCTCTTGCTTTTGGATCCAGAGGTTGTAAGTTAATTCCCCCACAGTGGCTACACTTAGATTATAAATTTATGTATGTACAGAGCCGAGCACAGAGGGGCCCCAATCCCTGACTGGGACTTCTAGGGATAATTGCAATAGCAACGTTATAGAGTGATACTAACATGCTGTCGTCACTCAGAATTTGAAGACAGATCCTCCTGGTCCCTTAGAGCTTTGTGGGAACAGAGATCCTCCTGCTCTAAAAGAATCTGCACATGAGCTGAAAAGAGCAGTTCTGATGACAGTACAGACCCTATGACACACAGTCTTGGTTTCATCTTGCAAGGGTCAGTTATGTTGGTCTCTCACTGGCACATCAATTCATGACATGGGTATGATTTTAAGATCCAAAAGCTTTAATTGGCTTTGCAATTGTTCAGGAGCTGATTGAGTCGGCAAAACTCTCCCTAATCCCTTCATAAGCTGTCTCCTAAGATCCCCAGCTCACCTTCCCTGCTTCCGGTGGGGCCAGGAAACAGCACTGCGACACAGAACATCTGCGGCGGTTTTGGTATTTCACTCCCCTTACAGGACCCAGAAGGGCAGAAGCAAATTCAAATCAGAAAAAGAGGTGAGAAAAGCAGCTTGAAATCTTACTGGGCCAAGGTTCTCATTTGGTTCTCACTGTATCTTAATTGGCTGCAAAAAACAGGACTATGCAGCACTTTAAAGACTAACAAGATGGTTTATTAACCATCTTGTTAGTCTTTAAAGTGCTGCATAGTCCTGTTTTTTGCTCTAACTGGCTCATGTATCTCTGATAACCACTTTACTCTCTCCCCTGCCCCGCAGTCCACCTCTCTCTCTGCTTCCATCTCCCTAACCCCCTCTTGCGTGTCTCTTTTTGCCAGCCCTCCGTGAACGCAGCGTGGACAGCATACACTGACCTGCAACCTCCCCACCCAACGCAGAAGCAGCTGGCCCATCTGGCAGGAGTGAAATGTAAAAATTAGAGGCGAGAGATGACAAATGACAAAACCCGCCAGCATTGGGGGGGCCGCCGAACAAATATGAAAGCAGCGTCAACTAACAGCAAGATAAACTAAATTATTTACAGCTTAAGACAGGGGCTAAAAATGATCATTGCTCTGCGCAGGCAGTAGGAAGGCAGAGAAACTCCAAGGAAGGGTAGAAAAATAGCAGCAGGAAAGAAGGCATTGTAGTGGCTTGCACACTGCAGGCTGTTTGCCAGATTTAATCCTCTACCTGGATGCATGGTTTGGCTCCTCTGAGCTTCTTGCTGTGCTTCCCCTCATATAACATAGCTCTATACGCACACAATTCCACACTCCTGGCTTAAGTTCTCACCCTACTAGCTCATAGGGTGGGCAAGGGAAAGTCACTTAATGATTAAAGGAGGGGACTAGAAACACCTGGGTTATGCCCCTGTCCTGCCATTGATGCTTTTGTGTGGCCTTGAGCAAGTCACCATAAGAACGGCCCTACTGGGTTAGACCAAAAGTCCATCTAGCCCAGTGTCCTGTCTGCCGACAGTGGCCAGCACCAGGTGCCCCAGAGAGAGTGAACAGAACAGGGAATCATCAAGTGATCCCTCTCCTGTCATCCATTTCCAGCCTCTGACAGAGACTAGGGACACCATTCCTAGCCATCCTGGCTAATAGCCACTGATGGACCTACCGTCCATGAGGTTATCTAGCATTATTGTTTGCTTTCAATAGCACCTGGAGGCCCAAATAGAGATCAAGGTCCCACTGTTCTAGCTGCTCTCCATGCAGTGAGACAGAGCCCCAAAGAACTTACAAACAAAATAGCCAAGACAGCCAGGGGGTGACAGATATGAAGTCTCTTCTTCTCTTGATGCCCTAATTTTCCTCTCTGAAAAAATGAGGATAACAATTCTTACCTTCCCCTCCCTGGTGGGTTGTGAGATTTGTTTCATTAGTGCAATATCGGCAAAGGGCGTAGCGATTCTTTCACCTTCCAGCTCTAATCACCAGACAAAGCTAGGCTTGTAGCGGGAGGGTATAAACAAGAAGAGCCAACGCTTAACCAGCAACTAAACAGAGAACTACTTGATTGGGAAGTCCCCCTGCAACACACCCTGGTCCTGTCTAGTAACCATGGAGGACTCAGGACTCTATAACCACTCCACTGGACTGATTTCAAAGATGTGTAGGCCCTGTGATATCGCCAACAATGGACAGAGTCAGTGAGGGGTTGGCCAGCCTAGTCTTTAGGAGAGACACAATAAAGGAAGAGGAAAGAGACAAGCTCAGATCGTTTCAGGAATCTGACCCAAGAGGGCTAAATTCCTCGCTCCTGTATATTTGTTTATACCAGTGGCCCACCCACTCAACGTAGTTTCCCTCAATGCAGCTACTGAAATCAATCACACCTCCCCCAGTTATGGGAACGCAGATCTACCTCCAGTGCCTACAAGTCTCTAATCCAGTCCGGATTTTGTATATAAGCCTTCACAGTGCTCTCCTAACACCTGCTGCTTCGGCGTGAGGCCAAGTGCTATTGTGTGGGTCCCTGAACTCTGTCTCTTTGCCTCCGCCCCAATTTCTACACATCTAATGGGAACACTTTGTTGGCTGGCCTGGAGCCAAAGGGCTTTCGATTCCTTTGTACCAGTGTGTTCCAGGTTCCCCCCTGCCTCCCCTCAAGCATGAGCATCAGGTCCCCCTTTCACTTTAGCCAATGAACACCATTGTCACAATGAGAGTGCACAAACACTGCCCAAATTCAAAGCCCCGTTTTCCCAAAGTTTACCCGAAAAATCTTTCTTTTCTTTGTCTCCACTGACTTGAGATAGAGCTGCTGGTCTCAGACCTAGCACAGAGCCTCAGCCTAACCTGTAGCAGTTTCCTTGCTTGGCTGGCTTGGACGCACTTCCTGAAGCAGTCAGTTTTCCGACATTTCTAAGTAGTAGTTAAAATAATTTCCCCCCACCACAAAGAGCCAACTGCTCTGGCTAGGTACCCAGGTACAACCTTCCTGATGTCCATAATGTCAGCTAATCCACCCCACTAGTAAAAACTCCCTCCAGGTCAGAGCAATTAGGGGTTGGGGTAAATAGCAGGGTTGTGTGAAAACAGCAGGCTTCCATTCCCATGAGTTTCAGTTCACGTGGTTTCATTCTCTTTGACATTCAAATCACATGCTGGATTCATTCCCCATCTCCTACATCTAGGGAGTACATGTTCTTTTTAACAGGACTTCAGTGATATTCAATAGCATCCCCCCCTTCAGTGCAGGGGATTCCCCTGTAGGAAGAGGGGGATAGTAACAGGCTGCTACTATTTTTTTTTTAAATAACCACCTATAGAAAGAGTTCAGGCTTTTAAGGCTTCTTTTACAATAACACCCGTTAGCTCAAATCAAATGGCTGATGATGGGACTTACATATGGTGAAGAGAGCACCAGCCACAGTGAGGGTCTTCTGAGCTCAGACATTCCGCACAGGTTGTGTATTGCTCACAGGATTCCACGGGAACCCGGGACACCTGGAAAGGAAGCAAATAAACGTGTTCATCGCATTTTCTCTCCTCTTGTCTGCACAATAAACAAACCAACCAGCAGCCACTCGCCCTTTCGCAGGGATTTTTCTCAGGAGGTGGCAAAGCAATTCACCAGCTTCAATTAAAAATCCTCACGGGGGTAACACAACACCATGAAATATATCCATTTGTACCAGGCCTGGCCTTACCATGAGGTGAACTGAGGCGGTCGCCTCAGGTGCCAGACTGTGGGGGGGCACCACTAGGCTCCAAAGTGTAGAAAATTGTGTCTCCTGCAGGTGCATATGTATTCTCTCTGCTCTAGATGCACAGAGATGGGGGAGAGCTGTGCTGTAGGAAGGAGGGCACAAGAGACATAACAGGCAGGCAGGAGGAAAGGTGAGAGGGAATAACAGAAAGCAGCAGGGAGGGAGAGGAGGAGGAGCAGTACCATGAGAGGAGTAGAACAGGAAGAAGGCAGAATTGAGACATTTCAAAGTTTTGGTCCATGCGAGGGGGCATCATTTGAACTCCCCACCTCAAGTGCCAAAATGTTGTGGGCCAGCCCTGATATGTACAGACAGCATGTGGTAACCACAGCACGTGGGTGCTGAATAAATAGCCTAACGTCAGCGGCAGAGGTAAAGTAAGTAGCTGAGCTAAGAAGAGAATCCAGTACAGGTTCAATCTCTCTAGTCTGGACTGGCACCCTCAGGACCTGACCAGTGCCAAACCAGAGAATTTGCCAAATCATGGGAGGTCAATGTTGTCTAGCAGCATCACCAACACTTCCACTGCTTGCTGGGCTCTTAGAAGATGTTTAGGGGTAAATGAGAGCTAAATAACAGCACAGAACACTGAGAGCCAGCACTGGGGTGGCTGTAAACAAACTTTATGGGACCACAGGAAACTTGGCCACACCCATGATAAGTGGACATCCGGCTAACTAATATCATGCCGGACCGTAGATGCTGTCGGATCAGAGAGTGCCGGACTAGAGAGGTTCAACATGTACCTTGTTCTAACGTGTTAGAGGAAGTGACTCAGCTTTCCTATAGAAAAATCCCCAGGATGAAAGCAGAGTTCCACCTCCCCCAACGTGCAGTTCACTGTGCAAGTATCTTCACTGCGGCTGGGAGTGTGCTTCTCCGTGTGAATAGAAACAGAAACTTGCTAGCTCAGCTTGAGCTACTGCACTAAAAATAGCAGAGCTGTCAGGGGTGGAATGAGCTAAAACTGGAGGCAGCTGCAGAAGCACAAAGCTGGATCCTCAGGTCCATACTCAGTAGCTCACCGGGAGTGCAGCCCATGCCTCAGTGGCTACCCTGCTCTTTTAGTGTGCTAGCTTGAGCAGAGCTAGCAGGTGTCTGTCCATTTGCTGGTGGACGCATGTGACACTGCAGCTGGGAGATGCATCTCGTGTTTCACATGGACGGTGGAAAAAGTTCTGAGCAGGAAGGTTAGGAGGAAATGAAATTCCCCCAAAGGATCGGTGCACGTCGGTAGAGAAAATACGCCATTTTGACTTGGCTTGGCTTTTGGCCTTCAAACACTGTTAGTGAATTCTGGGCCCTGTAATAATATTTCCAGTGAGGCAGGGTTAAGATAAAATTGATCACATTTCAAGCTTCCATTCCAAGCCGCTACAGGGATCAGGAAGGAGTTACTCCTGGTTAGACAGCACTGAAAATTGGTCAGGTCAGGCATATTTTAAGGGGCTGTATGTCCCTTAGCAGAATCATGTCTGGGTCCATACTGAACTTCTAGGGCCAGTGGTGTGATCCGATATGGTGTAAAGCCTTGACTTCAGGGTTTCATATACCTCCAGCTGACTCTTAACAAAGGGGACAATTTCAACCTGGGGGAGCTTCCTAGGAGCACATCTGGAGTCTATGGACTCTCAGGTTAAGAGCAGATGCTCAGTCTTGGATCCTTAGTACGGTACATCACACACTAGAACTGGAAGGGACCTTGAGAGGTCATCAAGTCCCGTCCCTTGCCCTCACAGCAGGACCAATCCACAGCAGGACAAGCCTAATTTAAATAAGTGGCTGTAAACCCGTGCAGTCACAATTCCATTTCCTTTGATTACTGACAAGACTTCTTCAGAAAAGGGAGCAAAAGTTTCTCAAAACCAGACAATGGGGCTGCCTGTGTCACAGGGGCAGGGGAGCAGGAGAGAAAAAGAAAATGAAAAGGGAACTCTTCTGTCAGGATGGACTTAACAAAATCACCTGAATCTGGCCATCAGCAAATGATTTCACACCGTGATCTTCACAAACAGAACAGGCACATTTACATTGGTGAGATATGTCAAGAACCTGACTCAGAGGTCATCATGAACTCTTCCAGAAACATGGCCTACAAGATGAGGGCTTTACCCCCAGTGTCATGGCTAGATTCCAATTAGGCGAGGATGCTTTGCTTAATGAATCCCCTCCCTGCAGTTTCAATGGGATGTCTCCACTTCCTGTCTTAAAGCTGTTGCATAGGCTGCTGTGTAGTGTTAAATGGCTCTTGCATTCCTCCCCAGAAAAAAGTGCATTCCAGAAGTGGACTCACTGCCACAACACAACACTGGAGGGCAAGAGCTTAGCATGATTCAATACAAGAACTGAACATGTAGGCTATGTCTGCACAGCAACATTATTTCAAAATAACGTAGTCCATGTCTACACAGACGGCAGTTATTTGGACATAACGTCGAAATATTGTCAAGCTGGAGGACTTATTACTCTGACTCCGGTAACACCCAGGCTGTGTCTAGACTGGAAAGTTTTACCGCAAAATCACATGATTTTGCGGAAAAACTTGCCAGCTGTCTACACCGGCCGCTTGAATTTCCAGAAAATCACTGACTATCTCATGTAAGATTGTTAGTGCTTTTCCGGAAATACTATGCTGCTCCCGTTTGGGCAAAAGTCTTTTTCCGAAAGACTTTTGCGCAAAAGGGCCAATGTAAACAGCACAGTAGTGTTTTCTGCAAAAAAGCCCCGATCGTGAAAATGGCGATCGGGGCTTTTTTGCAGGAAACAGCATCTAGATTGGCTACGGACGCTTTTCCGCAAAAAACACTTTTTGAGGAAAAGCGTCCGTGGCCAATCTAGAAGTGCTTTTCCGAAAATGCTTTTAACGGAAAACTTTTCTGTTAAAAGCATTTTCAGAAAATCATGCCAGTGTAGACGTAGCCCCAATGTACGAGGAGTAAGGGAAGTCAGAGGAAGAGTGCTCTATTTCAAAATAAGTGCTGTGTAGACAGCACCAAAACTCGAAATAAGCTACGCAAATTGAGCTAAGCCCCACTGTGTAGATGTGTCCTTAGATGGATCACCAGACTATCCAGTGTCACAATCAAACTAACAAGAGTTTATGAAGGCACATATACCATCCTGCAATGGGACATCGACTGATCTCTAATGAACAGGGCTGGAAGGAGACATTCGCTAAGAGCAGAGCTTTCATCACCGCTTGCCATGAGATTCTTTGATCTTTGAGCTGCTAACCACTCTCTGAGGTAGAACACTGGACTAGACTGACCTCCAATCAAATTCAATGTGCCAGTTCATACGACATCTATTCATTTACAAAAAAAATCTTATATATAGTCTATGCAGTACTGTGGGATCCACTTGGGTGAAAACTGACGTGTAAACATTTTTGTTAATAAATACTATTTATTATTACTACCTAGCATGTTGTATCAACAGCAGAGAACAGATGTACCACTTACAATAAACAGCAACTTGCAATCAAGTATGCATGGCCAAGAAGCCTAGTGGAGCAGGTGACCAGGGCTTAGCCTGTGCAGACAGATTGCACAGCAGTCTGGGGTGAGCACATCGCAGGCTCTTGCTGGTTTGCGTTAGTGAAATCTGCCGGCCAACGCACAGGCAAAGGCTCCCTTTGGCAGCCGGAAGGCAGAGTTCTAGTCCAAGGAGCCAGTCCCAAACCCACCCCCACGCGCACACTTGTTTGGAGGCGTAAACATGTGCTGCGATGGTCTGGGACAGGACGCAGACTGCTGGCTTCCATATGGCTCACAGAAACCAATCTTGGAGGCACCTCTTGCAAGCTGAGTCTGGTAAGTCACACTTCAGCGATACACAGCATGTGTAAGTTGTAAGGTTATGACTGAGCGGGAGGCAGAATTACACCCTTATAAAACCTCGTCCTCTCTACCTAGGAAAAGGCCTAATTTTACTGTAAGCCTGCCAAACCTTCCCTGCCCAGGAGACATGTGCATGCATATATCATACACATGCACCTGGAAAGAGACCATACCGTGTTATAACATGCCATCTCTCCTCCTTGGAGGTGACCGACCCAGCCCATTCTGTACCCACCCACCTCCAGTAGGAAAGACACTTCATGTACTAAGTTTTTCCTGTTACAGACTGGCTCGGCTGTCCCTTTGAAATTTATCTACCCAATATTCTCTCCCGTCCCCCTCCAATTTTTTTCCTTCCCCTCCCTCCCTCCTTCCCTTATTTATTCTTGGTTCTGGACTTCCAACACTCCGGTCATCTGAAAAAGTGGGCTGTGCCCACAGAAGCTCACGATACTATCTACATGTTTTGTTGGTCTATAAAACACTATCAGACCATTTGTTGTTTTTTAAGTTTTTCCTGTTATAGACTAACTCGGCTACCCCTCTGAAATGTCACGTACTGTTAGTTATTTACAGCTCGAGCATTCGGCTTCGGTCATAAAAGATTATATGTCTCTTTCTCGTCGGGTTTGCACTAGGGATGTGAATGGTGAACTGGTGTCTCAGCTGCTGTGCCATGGATATTGGGCTCTCTAGCCAGGCTGAAGTAGCCCCCACCTGTGGTGGGCCCGTCCTGGCCAGAGGGGGGCGCTCTAACCTAGCCAAGCAGCCCATGGTGGCACAGCCAGGCCAGAGCAGCCAGGCCACTTTATTTTAAACACATAGTTTAACCGGTTAACTGATTACATGGAATTTTACATCCCTCCTTTGCACCTTGTGCAGTTGCTGGCACAGGTGC